CATTTGTTTGGCCAGAATAAACAAGACTTTGGTACAAGAGAAAAATAAGATGAACAAGCAATTTAAATGTATTATTAAAAAGTACAACAGCGAAATAGAAAATGTCTGCCTGATTATTATGTAAATCTGCTTGTATTGCTCCTACCTATTGAATAATTCCAGATCAGCAAATTTTTTAACTGCAAAAAGCCCTACATTTCACCGTGTTTTATTCTTATTGAAAAAGAACACACCCAAATCTGTTGTGCCCCAAATAGTGAAACATTTGTAGCCCATAATTATACAAGTTTTCTCAACTCTGTGGAATTCAGTTGGGGGTTGGCCTCCTATATGTAGATGCTTACCGTAATTTATAGTTTCCTGAGAACCATTTTCCTCCTGCAGAAACGTCTTAAATGCTAGCTACCTTTTTGAATCTCCTATCAATGGATATTTATTCAAGAGTTGTCCCACTGAATTAAAGAAGAATTATACAAAGAAAGCTGCACCAAGGGGCCACAATGCAATTCAATTCTTGGAAGGGTATTATGCCAAGAGCTTTCTTGTATCATTACAATACCATCCTGCTTAATTTTCAGGGACTGCACTCACATATCACATCAAGACATGGCATGACTCTGATTTACTGAATAAAACAGTTCTTAAACACACCCCAGACAGCAATTGCAGAAATGGGCACTGAAACACAATGATGCAAAGCCCATTTCTTGCATACCCAACTATGATGCCATGACACAATACAGAAGGGTGGAACATTCATCATTTTTACCTCAGTATGGCTAGCTACCCATGTCTAGGATCTCACTGTGCAGTATTAAGCTGCAGCATGTGTAAATCCTGTCAATGCTCCTCAGTAAGGTAGAAAAAGCAGTTCCATTGCAGTACCTTCTAGACAAGTCGTTAGAACTCAAGGGAACTGGATATGCCCAACTTCAAGGAAAGATGGCCAAGAGGGAATATGATAGCACTCTTGAGGAACTTGAGGGAAACCCATAGAGAGGGCATCATAATTCCAGAGTTCAAGTTAAGTGAGATCTTAAGTTCCAGGAAGGCAGATATTAACTGGATGATAGGAAAAGCTTCCTAACAACAAGAACACTTTGGCAGTGGAACTAATTAAAGAGGCAGATACGTTCAAGCAGGCTTGGACAACCATCTGTTACAACACTTAATTTAGATTTCCCACTGAACAGAAAGTTGAGCTTCATGATCTAAATAGCCCCTTCCAACTCTTATTTTTCTATACTTTGCATGGGTTCTGGCTGCCACTTCAGGTCCTTTGCTTTCTGCTTCTTATGCTCTCTATATTCAGACAGGAAACAGATTAAACAGCAGGAGTCTCTCTAGTCACACTTCTGCACTTCTATCTTCATTCACCCCTATGTGCAAAGCCTGTCTTTTACAGTTTCCTTAAGAGGATGTTTCTGATTTAATCAAAAGGTAAAGAAATTTCCCAGTGAGATTTGTTTTTCAGGCTTTTCTTCAACACATTCAAAACTAAAATAAATAGGTAAATACTATTTCATAGTTTAAATGCCTTTATCCATGGCTTTTCTTTCCGAGCTTCCAAGTAACAACATTGTTCAATGATGTAAATACTTTTCTTCCTCTTTTGTTTTTTAAAAAAAGATTTGTGCCTTTTGTACACCTGTATGGAAAGTTCTTTACTGAAATCCTTCAGAATTTTTCTCACTGGTCACCTTTTCATAGATTCATATCCACAGAAACCAATTTACATTGCACCATGGATGCCATCCCCATACTAAGACCATTGAGATCTCTGGATGAAGTGTCAATGCTCCTCCAAGTGACCAATAAGACAGACAACAAAACAAAGCAAACCATCATCCAGCTTTCTCTGCTTGCCTCTTTAGCTCAACCCTGTAGACGAGATAGTAGCAGAACCACTGCTTTGCTGAATTTTATAACCATAGAACTTAGAATAGGTTGAAAGGAACATTGGAGATCTTCTAGTCCAGCCCCCTGCTCAAGCAGGAAACCCTATACCAGTGGTTCTCAACCTGTGGGTCAGGACCCCATTTGGGGTCGAACGACCATTTCACGGGGGTCGCCAAACAACGCAGTCCGCCATTTTTTCCCCTTTTCCTTAGCTATGAATAGAGTCTAATTCTATTGGCTTTCAAAAGCCAATAGGAATTGTCCAGGCTGTCTCTGCCCTGCTGAGCCCGCCAAAAGTCCCATTCTGCAAACGGTGCTGCACCAGTTGAGTAGTCCTTGACTTACGACCGGTTGAGTAGTCCTCGACTTACGATCGGTTGGGGGTCGCGGCATTAAAAAGGTTGAGAACCACTGCCCTATACCATTTCATACAAGTGGTTGTCCAATCTGGAGTTAATCTATGCTGATCTGGGTGCTGATTGTTGTTGGATTATTGGTGGATTGTTGGGTCTTCGATGAGACAAAGAATGCTTGACATCTAACAGCGTGCGAACAATTTTTGTAACTTGTTTATATTTTACTCATTTACCATCCTGAAAACACTCTAAAAACATTTATTTTAAAATTAAAAATAAAATACATTTTAAAAGCCTGCTGTAATGGGTGCCTAGTGCCATAGTACATAAGCATCAGTTGTGGAAGAAGAGGTCCTGTCAGTGAAAATGGGATGTGGGGAAAGGTGGTAGAAAAAAGGAGAATTTTTGCCAGTTGGAAACTGTCTCCAAACTCCATTGTGTTCATTATGCTGGAAAAATGTACAAATGGTCCTCAACTTATTATCATAATTGAGGTCAGAATTTTAGTTATAAGTTATTGCAGTCATAAATCAAGTGTACCACATGATAGGACTCAATTTTAAGTTTTTCCCATGCTCATTAAGAGTCAATGCAGTCATTAAGCAAATCAAGTGGTTGTCAAGTGAATCACATGGGCATCAGTCCGAATCCAGCTTTGCCAATGGCCATTTTTTGCTGGAAAATGGAAAAACAAGTCACAAAATAAGGAACATATGACCATGGAAACTGCAAGCATTGTAAATGCAAGCCAGTTGTGATTGCCAAAATGCAATCACATAACCGCAAGGGTAGTTTGGCAGTCATAACGTCAAGGACAGATCGTAAGTAGCCTTTTCCAAATCCACCAGAACTTTGAATGGTCATTAAGTGACCAGTGGTAACCCAAGGACTATCTGTATTTACTCTAATTCCTTTTGTGCCAAAGCTGAGACAGAAATGAATCAACTTAGCTGCTGAAGAATTTGGAGCATCACCTCGATCTTGAAGCAGTGCCAAGTGACTCCATGGAAGTGTCCTGAGCTTGTAACTCAGCCCAAGCTTGTGCGATCAATGCTTCTCCTCTTGGACAATAAGCAAGTTGATGGTGCTGTAATGAATAATAATAGCTCCACTGGGAAAGTTCTGGAATGCTGGTGCACTTTTTTCCACTCTTGCAATACTGAAGTTACAAAACTACGCTTTTGTAATCGGTGGAGCAAAAGTCAATGATGACATGAGGATAAAGGAAAAAAAAATCATTTAAGTCAAACTCAACCTCTAATGACAAGCATCCACATTGATTATATGATCTAAGCAACAATATGGAAATAATTTAGTTGCCTTTGTGCAGTCTAGCCTACAGTCCTGAAATTTTCTGAAGGTCTCCCATCCAAAAACTAACCAGAATTTGATCACCAGAACCTCTGCCAATCACCAAGTCCCCCAGACCTTTCTGGGTGTAGGCACTGTGACCCAGCTAGAGCATATACAAAATTTTCCAAGAGCAGTGGTTCTCAACCTTTTTAATGCCACGACCCCCCAACCAGTCGTAAGTCGAGGACTAAACCAGTTGTAAGTCGAGGACTAAACCAGTCGTAAGTCAAGGACTACCCAACTAGTCGTAAGTCGAGGACTTTCCCTGCCCGGGAGCGCCACGCATGCATGGTGCCGCCCCCTGCGCCGGCTGAGGCGTAGCTGGCAAGCGGCAGAGATGGAGCAGGCCGACCACCGGCTGGGCCACCAGCTGGCCCAGCCCAAGGGAGGTAAGGCACCCGTCGGAAAAGGGGGAAAAAATGGCGGACAGCCTTGCTTGGCGACCTGTGAAATGGTTGATCGACCCCAAATGGGGTCCCAACTTATAGGTTGAGAATCGCTGTCCTAGAGGCATTTGCCATTTTCATCTTTTTTTCAGCAAAGGTAGCCAAATGTTGCAGGCCCATTCTTAATGTTTAGACAAATGAAGCCCACTTCATCCATACATATCACCTTCATACCATCCATTAAATACTAATACTAAATCAAAGCCATTTTTATTCACTGATTATTCTATTGGGGTTTGTACATTTTATTTATATTGTTTTCTCACTAGTTCTGAACTAACTCTTTCTTCCTTATCTGTCCTCTGAGGCACCCATTAAACAAAATGTCTCTGCTAGAGAAATGCATAATGATCACATTAAATGTAGGACCTGATGCAATTGTTGCAATTATCTTTAGGTTTAGCGGACTTTCATTTGTAAATAAAAGCTGCTTTCTCTTTTGGACCAACGACTCCAGACATGCTTTGAAATGCCTGGTGAAGCCTTCAGCCCAGGAAAAGGTATCCTGGCAGCAGCCCTACATTTGTAATTCAATATACTGACATCACAAGTATACTGTCAGTCAGTAAACAAGTATATTAACAGCACAAGTATGGGAGGCTAAGAATTTGGTTGTAAGGGGGTAAAAGGGAAAAAAAAAGTCAGAACAGGGTGGGGAAAGTTTTGTTTCCCCCTCCTTTTGAATTTTGTTCCCTAACGAAGCCTAAAGAAATTGGATAACAATTGCTGAGATTCTTCCATCGCTCCGTTTGCAGACAGCCTGCAGCATTGAAGTTCTCGCACTAGGCAAGGAACCGCCGCCTCCTCTGACTCAAACAAAAAGAAATAAAAGAGGGCAACTCCTCGTCGGCGTCCCGGCCAGCAATCAGAGCTCCCATGAAGGCAGGGACCTCCCCTCAACCATCTGTCCGCCTCGGGCCGCGACCGACCAGCCAGCGCCCCCCTCCCCCTCCGGGATCAGAAAGTGAGAGAACCCATTTCCCCCCTACTCCAACCCATAAGCTGCTTCGCCTGTCAACCACACCCTCCCCTCCTCCCCCACCCAGGCGATTGAGCTTCCCAACTCTCGCCCGGGGCAGGCAGCCATGGCAAGGAGAGGCGGGGGCGGCGGCGGCGGCGGTAACGGGCCCCGCGGCTGTGACAAGTAAGCGCCCGCACCGCCAAGCAGGCTGGGGGGCGCAGCCGGGGGCGTAGCTGTTTGTCCCAGAGCTCAATGCACCGCGGCGAAGACGCGGCGCCAAGAAGGCAGGGCACAAACTCAGCCCGTCTCCCCACGCCTGGCTGCAAACGGAGGTAGGGCGCACGCGGGGAGCCTGTTTATTGGGGGTCGGAGGGGGGAAGTGCAAGGGTGGAATATTGGGAGGTCTTTTCCTCCCTGGTGGTTGCTTATGCGATCCGCTTGGTGGAAGCCCGACCGATGCTGGAGCTTTTGGGGATGAGGGCGAGGCGTCCCCGCATTTCCTTCTCTACCAAGTTACGGCGAGCTCTGGGTTTGAGTCCTTCGCTCCGGGCGAGTTTTTCACCTCCGAGGAAGCCGGAGAAGCGGGCGCCTATTTACGTCGGCCGAACTCCAGCTCAGGTAGAAGAAGGAACAGCAGCCGCCTGTTGCGCGCCACTTCTAGGAAGTTTTCCGGAGCCTTGCAAATCCAGGGTAGGATTCGCTTCCTCGAGCAATGGAAAGTTGGAGAGGCGAAACGGGTGCGGAGAGAGAGACTGTTGGAGGGGGAAAAAAATGTCCCGGTGCGGGAATCGGTAGCAAAAAAAACCCAAAATCGTCTGGTTTCTGGCTTTTATGGACAAAAGGCTGGTTTTGTTGACGCAGGGGAATGTATGTTTCTGGAGGATTTTCTGAGCGGTAGTCCAGCTGCTTTCAATCTGGAGCTAAAAGGAGAACCTTGCGACACCTTAAAAAGAAGAAGAAAGAAAAAAGACCGAGGCAATTTTTCCCAGCGTTTGTGTGGATGGAGGTCCAACTGGGTTCAGTCGGCCAGATTAGAGGCGTATTTAATTGGCCGCCGAATTCTCTGTGGCCTTTTCTAGTGGAGGCATTTCCTTTGGCGAAGGTTGAGGAGAATGGAAGCCAGAGAGCTGAAAGGCAGGCAGGCAAGCAAGCAGGATGGCTGCAGCTGAAGTAAAATGTGAACGCACAACACAGAGTAGTATTTAACAGTATATTTTTTAAAAGGCAGTTGCGTTTGGGACGGTTGCTACGTGCTTTAGAATTTTTCCCCACAATTTGAAACAAAACTTTTTGACAGTCTTTGACAAACAGCTATGAGTGCTGCAGGTGAAGTTTTTATTGTCCTTAACATTGAAGATGTCCTATCAGCAACTTCATATTAAATTCGTGCTGTTCATTTTTCTCCCAAATACTGTATTACGTTCACCAGTTATTTTAATTTTCCCCTCCGAAAGGTTTGAAAGATGCATCCTGACAGAACCTTTAAATTTTTCAAGGATGGGTTAAGATTGCAGGAAGCCCCAACCCTGTTGGGGTTTGTTGGGAAATAACATTTTGTAAAAGATGCACAATGTTTATGGGTGCTTACCTGTTGAATTTCAATAGGATTTCTTTCCCAATATAGTATTGCAACCTTAACAGATAATTCATAACATCTAAGCAATTTTGCTCATAATATCAGGATAATTCTCCACTGCTGGAGTAAAAGCTTCTATACAGCGTATTTTAGCTTTAGCTAGAATTGCATCATTTTAAACTACTCTTGCCAGCATCTTTGATGTGCTGCCATTATGGTGATGATCCCATATTTAATTTTCTGGGAGGAATCTTCAGTGTAACCTGTTTTGAGTAGATACACATGGGATTGCCTGCACATTGTCCAGGTTTACATAATGTTAAAGCTGGCAAATACATATATATATTGGATGATTGTATTAATTATGACGCATCTTTATTTCAAAGTAAGATTCTGCTGCAGCCTCTGAATTTATAGTATTGATCTTATCAGACTAATTGGAACATGTTTCTGACAACTCAGTTGTGCTGTGCTTCTTACTTAACTCCTGGTTAAACATGTATAGACTGAAGGGAACATGGATTAAGGCAGCAGTTTAAATTATTCCACCCTAACCCTAACCCATTAATGGGAGGTAGACCTGGGGTCCTGTTACCAGCAATGGGCCTTACACTTATCCACTTTTAAGCTAAGTGTTCTTTTCTTGTGCTTTAGGTGTTGCAGAGCGAAAAAATGGCCAGGACTGCTGTTATTCATAGACATGCAATTGTAATATGTGATTTTTGTGAAGACTGTTCATAGCCTTAATTTGCCACTGTCATTAAGTTCAGCTGTGCTTTCCCTTTTCTAAGTTATGAAAAGAATGTCGTTTGATGTGGTATGCTTTTCTTAGATGGGAAAGTTGTTGTTGTTGTTAGTTGCGAAGTCGTATCCGACCCATCGTGACTCTATGGTCAACGTTCCTCTAGGTCTTCCTGTCCTCTGCCATCTTCTGGAGTCCATTTAAGCTCACACCTACTACTTCAGATGGGAAAGTAGGGTATATCAATACTTTTGATATTGTCAATTCATTAGTATTTGCATTATTTTATTAGACATATTCCCAAGTTTAAGGTTTGCTTGTTTATTTCTGTCTTGGCTTTATTGTTTTTATAAATAACTCAAGATGGCAAATATACCTAATACTCCTTCCTCTTGTTTTCCCCTCAACAATCCTGTGAGGTGTGGTGGGCTGAGAGAGTGACTGGCCCAAAGGCACCTAGCTGGCTTTCATGTACAACTCAGTTTCCTTGTTTCCAGCCTGACATCTTGAGAGGGGAGGAGGGAGAGAGAGAGAGAATTTTTATAATTTCATTTGTATAATATATGACTGTTTGCACAGTATACTTAATCATATTATTAACTCGTTGGGGGGGGTGTTGTGTAACACCTAGCTATAAACTAACCAAATGAGTTAAAACTAACCAAGATCCTAAAGTTAAAATGCTTTCACTGGTTTTTCATTGACGTGGTTAAATATGCTATGTTGATGTAACATTGGATAGATTCCACCATGCCCTCTCTCCTGGGCTTGGCCATCAAGATAATTGGATGGGGTTCACATTTTGTGCTAAATCCAGATAAGACTCAATTGATTTGGTATAGTATGATGACTGTTTCTCCTTTATTTTGATTCATATTGCATGTTTTATAATTTAATGTGATACATGAATCCAACTATTGTAACTTATAGAATTAAGTGTAAAGGTTTAGTTCAATGTGTGATTCCAGTCTACATCAGAGTCTTCAGTAGAAGACATTTCCAGAACCGAGGGACTCCAACTTGCTTTAATATTCTGCACTATTCTAATTCAATCCCTTTATAGTAGTCTTCCCTAACTTAATGCTTTCCCATGAATTAAACTCCAAGTCCCCTCAACTTCATCCAGGGAGTGTCTGGCCTGGGATGTTTGAAAGAGAAAGGGGAAAAAACCTCCATACCATGAAGAACATCTAAGCTTAGCTTGAGGAACCTTGGGCTTCTAGGTGTTCCTGTACAGTGATTCTCAGCAGCCCCAGATTTAATAGACAGTAGTGATGTATGCTGGAAATTGTAGTTAAAATTAAAGGGCGTAAGCTCCCGACCTGCACTAAAACAGTGTTTGCAAATCCATTTTGCATTGTGTTTGATGTGAATGCTATCAATTGCTGATGCAGGAGAGAAGGGCGCAAGCAGATTTGTATAACTAGATAGTCATTGCATTGCTGGCTGACTACCTTTTAAAAAGCTGGCCGGCTTTTTAAAATCATGGGTTCTTTTTTCAGCTAGGGTGGTGTTATGTGACTTGTGAATCCCAAATGCAAGCAGAACTCTTAAGACAATTGTATTGATGTGCCAAAAGTTTATCCTTGCTGCTTGCTCTGCCCTGGCATTTTGAGCTGTTATGGCTGACAGTCAAACAGATGGCTAAATTTTTATGGGGAGAAACTGCCTCCTATTGCACTGGCCAGTTCTAATATCACATTCATGTCTGTCCTCTGCCTCTAACATTTCCCAGAATAATTTGACATGTTGTGTCCTTGATTTAGCATCTTAAATTTCTTTATAGCCCTAACCTGCAATCACCCCCTCTTTTTTGAATCATCCTCATACACAGGTTGTTTCTTCCTATTGTGGTTGCAGCTTTTGACCTCCCACTTTTTTCTTTCTTTTGCAGTTAAACTGAAATATCACAAGCATTTCCTCCACTGCTATTTTTCCTTAATGCCACACAGAAATTAGAGTTAGCAAATGAAAAAATGGATCTTTCTTTGGAATCTCTGAGCTTTGCCTTTTCCAGTTTGGTGCTTCTCCCACATGTCCAAAGATTCCAAGTCTGAATTTTCAGCCAGCCTAGGAATTCATTACTTTAAAAAAAAGAGAAGTTTTAAAGAATGAAAATAACTTGTCAAAAAACAAAATGCCTTCCTGTGGCCCAAAATTCAGTTTTCTTTTTTGTTTTAGAAAAATTAGAGACAGAGAGGGATTCACCCAATTGAATGTTGGCATTCTGCTGGCAAATTTTGATTGGCTGATTTAGGAAGGTTCCAGGGATAACAGAAATGACAGGGGCCATGTATTACTGCCCATCAGTTTTGAATTGTCCTCCTACTATATGATTTGGATAACAGTGGTAGAGAATAGGCTTATCCAACTGGTATTTGCCAGATGTGCTACACTTCAGCTCGTGTTGTTTTCATGCTATGATGGCTGTTGTAATTAAAGACATATGAAGGATAACCAGTTGGGAAGAATGCCATAGAGTACTGGAGTCATGGTGCTCTGTTTACGTACATAATTACAAGTCCTTGAGACTGACCTAAACCTGAGCATATGGAAAACATAGAAACCAATGTTTTTCATATTAAATTATCAGTTAATACTGATAATTTAGAAGAGTATTTACTCCTGACAATGTTGCTACAAGGAGTTTCTTATTTAAGTAGCAGAGGCAAATGGCAAACATAATTCACAGAATATCTCTACCAAAACTGCACCAGAGATGTCTGCAACATCCTTTCTTTTTGATGGAAATATCTTAAACATACGGTGATAGAAGAACTTTTGCTACAGATAATCTGTCAATGCTGTAAATATTGGATGTTCCCGCACTGACAACTGATGAAAATTGCAGCCATTTTCTCTTTGCCTTTGATATGCTTTTTCTAGTATTTAGAAATCAGGTGCAGAAGGGGAGGGGGTTGGGATTAAAGCTTGAGCTCAGTTAGCCATAACAATAACGCTGCTTTGTGGGAACCCTAGGACGAGCTGATAACGTTTTGGTGGGCTGAGGAGCT